TTGTAACTTTAGTTAGCGACAAATGTAAATTACGCCCTGAACTGTAACCCATGTTACTACCTTTAGTAGTTCTATCACTTTTCATATGTGAAATATAAACCACGTGTTACAAAATGTAACTTTTACCAAATCGAAATGTAACTCAAGGGTATGTAAAACGTAGCTTGAGAAAATTTAGAAAATGTAAATTGTGTTAATTGAAATGTAAGTTGAACTAAATCAAAATGTAATTTGCTGTAATAGATATGTAACTTCAGCCGAAATCAAAATATAAGATGTCTACTATACATACATAGATATAATAATTAAATAGAATCGTATATGAATTCAATGGATTAAACTCATGCATCTAATGTTTTTCAATGGGTGAACCTCATCACCGATTTCAAGGAGAAAAACAACGATTTCAATATGGGATGGAACAATCACGGTCGTGGTGGGAACTCAGTAATGGATCTGATTTTTTAGAATTGCTTCTGAGCTTCGTCTCACTCTGTAATATTTTTATAAAAGTTTTATGATGTATTCTTATTAACGTAAGGGTTTTTAAATACTATATGACTGTCCTAAATTTTTTGTAAATTGTCTGATCAATTATTTCTTCATTCAATCTAGTATTTTGTGCAAATTATCATACATATTTTAAAACTATGTAAGTGTATACTTTGTTCGCCCCGAATTAAATTGCAAACTTTGACCGGAACAAGGATTAAGGAATGACAATAAATGATGTTTGTTTTTTACACTTTTGCCCATCTTTCTAAAAGTAGATGTCTTTAAGTTAATGGGCAAAAAATAAAAGTAAGGGTAAATTTGTCACTTTATTCTTATATACATACCTAAAATAGAAAGTGGAAAATCATTTTTGGGACAACCAAAATAGAAAATTTTGCAAATCAAATTGGGACGGAGGGAGTATATAGATATGTCCCGTTCCTGTCATGATGTCCTGACTCGAACCCCGTGCGGCCATGCGAATAACACCATCAGAGGGCCTTCCAGGTGGAATTTTTGGATCAAATATTTTAAACATGTTCCTTATCAAGTCTAGTTTATGCATATCAAATTTCAGCTCAAAATTCAATCGAGAAAGCAATTAAACAAATTCTTGAAACATACAATGTTTTATATATGTACAAAATGTGATGTAAGAGTAGAGTCGTCACTTGGAGTGACGGATTTTGTACTATAAGAGAAGAGCCCTCACTTCAAGTGGAGGCTTTCCTTAACCACGGTTAACTTAGCAGTATTTTGGAAGTTATTTTAAACCTAACAGTATTTTGGGATTTATTTATTTATTTACCATTATTCCGGGGAAAGACTCCTAAATAAGAGTAAATGAGGTTTGAAATTCAAATATAAGACTACTATGTTTTTCTTCCCGAAATAGGAGTTGCTAGTGACATGATTGAAAAATACTCTCAGTAATTATAATAAATATTGTCATGTTAAATGCACTGTACTGCAACTATTTGACAGTCACGCCTACAAGATTGCAGTAAATACTGTCATGTTAGTCCTATTTTGGGAATAAAAACATAGTAGTACTAATTTGAAATTCCAAATTTCATTTACTCATATTTTGGGAAATCTCTCATGTTATTTCGACAACTAATTTATGAATGAAATTAATTAGAAAAAATGGCATAGAAATTACTACTGGGCTTTGCATTTTCAAAACTATGACCCATTTTGACTTTTCCAAAAATATGACGCAAATATAAATGAAAAAATCTAGCTTCTCAAACATTTTTGAACGGCTGAGCTTCTCAAACATAAGGACCTTTCTTCCGTACTTGTGCTTCATCTCTCTCCCTCTGCCGCCGACCCACCAAACTCCACCGCCAACGTCCAGCCGCTTCACCGCACACCAGCCACCAACGCCCCGCCGCTCCATCGCCGCCTCGCCGTCCCACTGCAACTCTTCTTCTTCTCATTCTTCTTCGCCGCTGCTTCTCCTACCCGCTACTGCCATCACTGCAACTAAAGATTTGGCATCGTCATCGATGGTCGTGCCGCTCTATTCCGCGTGCGACGATTAAGTGACGACGGCCAGATGAGGGGGTATAGTTACGGGCGGTGGTGCGGTTGAACAGATCTGTGATTTTGGCGGTGATTAAAACTAGAATGAGGGGGCGGCGACGAGCTGTCGGCTATGGTTGCCGGCGGTGGTGCGGTTGGGGGACTTGGGTCGAAAGGTGGGGCATAGGTATAGGGCTGGGGTCCGGGGGTTTGGGTTTGTCTGAGCTGGCGTGGCAGATCTGTGGGTTGGAGTGGCCTAGGTTTGGCCCGTGGGGATAGGGGTTGGGGGCAGAGCTTGGGTGCTGGGTGGCGGAAATCACCGGCGTTGTCCCTGGCGGCGGTGTTCCGATTTGGGTGGAAGTCATTGAGTTAGTGACCTGAGTTAGGTGGAAGTCACTGAAGTAGAGACCGGAGTTGGGTGGTAGTCACTAGCTAGTGACCGAAGTTGGGTGGTAGTCACTAGCTAGTGACCGGAGTTAGGTAGAAGTTTCTGGTTAGTCACTGTAGCCGGTGGGCAGTCACTATGGTGGGTAGGCGGGAGTCACTGTCACCGGCGGAGTCACTATGACCGGCAGAGTCACTGTGGCCAGAATCACTTTGACCGGAGTCACTGAGATAGTAACCGGCGGCGGTGCCGGTGGCGGCAACAGTGATGTTGGGGTCGCCGACGACAGAGGTGGTGGTGGATGCCAAACATGGCCTAGCAATCAAATATATAAAAGAAATATTAAAATAATAAATGTATGATTAAATACAAGGAATAAATGACTTTTAGTCACTTTTTTGGAAAAAATTAAAAGAGGTCACATTTTTGTCTTTTTCAATCATTTTAGTAATATTGGAATAAAAAGACCTTTAGTACCCTGCGTATCTCAAAATCTTTCCCCTTCTTTTAGACTTCCCATTTTTAGCATCTTTCCCCCTTTCAACTTTGGATCTTCCCCTGCGTATCTCCTTTTCCACCGGTGACGTTGCCGACGGCGGGCCTACGCCGGTTGTCAACGGCGGGCCTATGGTGGTTGCCATTTCGGATGCAACCTCAAGGGAAGACAACGACGAAGGCAAACCAAGAAGCTTTGAATAACTTGAGCAGCATATCTTCTTTTCTTGATTTTGTTTTCTTCATTTTTGATGTATTTTCGAAATATAAAGGGTTTTCTATCAGACAGACAACTTGTAAGTGCAGTGTGTGTAAGAGTCATGAAATTGCCTGTCATTTGAAAAATAAATATTTGCAATTGATATTTAATTGTTTGTCATTTATTTGTTAGTGGTCCGTATTTGTTTTGAGTTGTGAAGTTGTCTGTAACTCATACTTAGTTGTTTGTCATTTCATTGTAAGTTGTATGTAATTTGTGGTGAAAATAATGTGTCTGATTATCTCTATTGTCTGTCTAGTTATGCGTATTGTCTGTTTTCTTTATGAAACATATTCTAAAATGGTAATTCACAATAAAGTAATGTCTGTATGTGTATACTTATTGTCTAGATGTGTATATTTAATGTCTGCCTCGTTATGCTAATTACATCTCAAAAAATAAATATCACAAATTACAGACAACTCACAATCAAATACAGACAACTCAAAACTAATACAGACAACTGAAAATAAATAACAAACAATTAACCATCGATTACAGACGGACGGACAACTTCACGAGTCTTACTAACACATACAGACAATGGACTTACAAGTTGCCTATCTGACAGACAACCCTTTATATTTCGAAAATACATCAAAAATGAAGTAAACAAAATCAAGCAAAGAAGATCGATTGCTCAAGTTATTCAAAGCTTCTTGGTTTGCCTTCGTCGTTGTCTCCCCTTGAGGTTGCATCCGAAATGGCAACCACCGTAGGCCTGCCGTTGGCCCGTCGTCGTCAACGGTGGAAGAGGAGATAAGCACGAGAAGATCCAAGGTTGGAAAGGGGAAAGATGATAAAAAGGAGGGGGTGCGTGAAAAGAGAAGGAGGGGTGTAGGAGAGGAATGGGGAGAAGAAAAGTGGAGGTGAGTTTTATATGGGTACAAATGGAGAAGGGTTTGGGGTACCTATTTTGCAAAATTGAAAAATAAAATGTTGAGAGTGGGATTTGAACCCACGCCCTTTCGGACCAGAACCTTAATCTGGCGCCTTAGACCAACTCGGCCATCTCAACTATGTTGTCTCGTATCTTCACGAATTTGTATTTGTCGCTATATGAATTCGGGGAATAAAATACTTGCAATTGCATATATAAGGTAACACATATAAGACCCTGTCTACATATTTTAAAAATCTAAATGGAACATGTTTATGTCATTAAGTGATTTACATAAAAAAGTACAACGTGATTATACAAATATGTATCTACTTGACCAGTTTTAAATGTAACTCTAGTTTAATACTCGTGTGATGCACTAGAATTGTGATATTGTTTTTATGAGTATTCAAAATTGATGCAACTCAAATACAATTCAACAAGATAATCATGAAAGATAGAGAAGCATTAAAAATTTTATAAATTTTGAAACACTTGTGTAAGAATTTGAAATTTAAAAATTTTATAAATTTTGAAACACTTGTGTAAGAATTTGAAATTCAATATGGAGTTATGGTTAGCATTCATTTAGGTTATTTTTTAAATGTGTCAAGCCAAAGTAATACGGAGTATTAAAAAAAGGATGACACTAAATACAGCTAGGAAGACTGAGATAGCAAAGTATCTATCATATCACAGTTGAAGTGTAAATCACAACGGAAGTGTAAAAATGAGTATCTATTTCGCCCGGATCATTTTCACTCTAATTTGATTGATATTTTTGGGTCTGTTTCCATTTGCGATCGTATATGATGAACACTACGTTACGTTTAGCGATGTAAGCAAATGAGTTTTACCCTAACCCCAGTATGAATTCCATCCTTGAAGATTCTTGAAATCAATCGTGAAATCATATCATCCATATTTGATCACTATGTTTTAGTTTTCTACAAGGTTCCTTCCGTCTTAAATTAACTCAAATCTTCGGCAATTTGTACTCGATCTTGATCAGATTTTTTTTTGGTAAAGGAAAAAGCGTTTTAACATAAAGACGAATAAGATCAGTGCTAAAGAAGGCTCAATTGGGTTGGGGATTTGCATTAACATTACACACATATATACAAATATTTACAATCGGGGTTGCACACTCTAGCCGTGCAGTAACTCCTGATCATGCCCGCGCCGGACAGTAACTGATTCAGCTCATTCCGGTCCAATCTCCGCCGCAGAATGTCAACCCTGTACAATATCCTCTCGGGAGCGGCAAACGGCTCTGACCGGCTGCGATTCTCTTTTTCTTCGCGTCCGTTAATTAGCCATGATCTATCCCTGTCCCCAACAATTCATGTACATGACTTGCCTGAGCGAGTCATCGACCTGCACAATCCGCTTCTCTCCGGCAAATCCACCGAGATCGGCGCCGGAAATCGGCCGCATGTCGGCCGCCGGGGAAGCAGAGAACTTCTTCTTGCTGTGGTGGAGGGATCTGAGGCCGGACTTCAATTTGTGGCCTTGATCGGAGTGGTTGTTAGCTAAGGTCACGCTGGCGGCCACCCAAACACGGTTCAAGTAACTCATTGTATTTTGAGTGTTGGAATCGAAGTGAAGCTTTAGAAAATGTTTCGATATGAAAGGCAGGGGAATTTTTTGACTTATAAGGAGGAGAAGAGAAAACCGGGTACCGGAAACGGAGGCGGTTCGGAGAGATATTTGGGACAGGTGGCGTGCTTATCCGAAACGGGGATGCCATGACTCATCCACTCCTAGCAACAGTCGACAGCCCCACTCTCCACTACATGTCGTTTGTCCAATTATTACAGTCTTGTCCCTAGTCGTTTTCGTGGCGCTAAACAATCGATTAGGTCCTTGTATTATTCCAATTCATTCTCTGAACTAAAAAAAATTCAATTCAGACTTTGAATCAATAAAAAATGGTTCAAATGTCATTTTTTACGGGTAAATAACCGGTTATTTTTTAAAATTTTTAATTGTTTCTGTTTTTATGTTCGATTTATTGCAATTTTGACACTTTTTAATAGTTTAGGGATGTGAATCGGACCTTTTTTTATCAATTCATTAACCTTAAAAATGAAATTTGAACTCTTTTTTTGCCGGCTCGGGTTTAAATTGGACATTTTTTTAGTTCAGGGACTGATTTAAGCCTACAGGATCGGTTAGGGACCTATTATTTCCTGGGTCCTTGTTTTAATTCTTGGATTCTTCTTCATCAACCCAAAACCGGGTATGATTTTAAATAATTTTTGAGTTGGTTAAGATTTTAATGTGCACTGTTACATTAGATAAAACTCTCATAGTGATTGAACTTCACATATCAATCCAACAACAAAAAATTACGTGAAATTAGTACTTTCTTAAATACGAGCAGTTTCTCTTATAGTGTCATCTTTACTTATATGTAAAAACTACAACATGTATTATTATGACTAAGGTTACTACTACAATATGTAAAGAGGGAGATAGTTTCAATTCCACCACTTTCTAGCTCGTTGAAAAGATAATGATTGTAGTCATGGTCATGATCATGATCGTTATAGTCATAGTTGTAGGAGGTGAAGTAATGATAAAAGAAGGAGGAGGGTGAGGAGGAGGCATGTATTAAACAATTTCTTCAACACTTCACAAACATAATGAGCCGAGTCGAAGAAATCTTCTTTAAGGCAATAAAATTACAACACTCTGTACCAATTTGTAGTGTAGGACATTGGGGAAACGAAACATCTTACTCTTTTCGTCTCAGTTTAAATTCTTACTTTCCGTTTTTAACGTCCTAACAAAAGATTTTTGTTTTTATTTTAGAAAATAATTAGCACTATTATAGGATAATTTAATTCAATGATCTTATATTGTACGATAGTATATCCATAAATAATATTTCTCAAAACATACAAGACTTACCTTATTTAATTATTACGTAAGTAATCGTGTCGCTTTATCATGAAACCCTTAGATCGGGACGGAGGTAGCATATTATGTGTTGTTCCTCTTGTTATTGAGGTATATGTGCTACTTCTAGAATTGCAAATCAATGAAATTGTTTGCATACTTGGAATTCCTGATATACACATGCATTTAGGTCGAGCATAGCACAGAGCTTATAATATACTCGTAGTTACTAAAACCAAACTGGCCACATCATAATTCTAAATTTCTAAGTGTGGCATCAATTCGAGTTAAAAGAAGCTTGTTTACGTAGTACTACTTATTATTAATTAAAAACTTAATTCAGTTTGAAGATCTAATTCCTTTCTCCATGTCATCTTTATCATGAAAATATAAACCGTCATATTATAATCGTCAATGTTCCATGACAATTTTCCATTCGACTTATTTTATCAATTATATAGGGTGGATATACGCACAACTCTATAGTTCGTTGAGTAGTAAAAAATTTGAGGAATTATGTAGGGTGGATACTGGATAGACAATAGATTGACTTAGAAGGGTATGTACCTAGGAGCACCCAGACATACCCCATGTTTATTCTTTTGCTTTCTTCAAAGCAAATTAGATATTGTGGGACGTACCTGGACGTACACAGGCATACCCGATGTTTATTCCTCTGCTTTCTTCAAAGAAAATTAGATATTGTGGTTGAGACTTAATCCTGAATTCCTGATTGTTAGATTTTTTACTTTGGGTAAACTCTCAAGGAAAATTGATCACATGATGATTTCCTTAATTCTGAAGGCCTCTCACCCCCCCCCCCCCCCCCCCTAAACTCTCGAATTTCCGTCCCATTTCATGTACTAATGTCATGTATAAAGTGATTATTATAATTATTGCTCGTAGATTGACTCCTTGTCTAGTTATCTCCTCCATATTATTGATCCCACATTCCCACCCAAGATGCTTTTGAGCTCCCATCCTCCCACCGGTTCGAGTCTACACCCGGTCCCGGATCGCCAGACCGGGCCGGGTCACGGGCCGGGTGACCCGAACCGAATCCACCCCTAGATGGGAGGCTCGTGTTTGAGAATATTTTCTTGACTGAAAAACTTGTTAGAGGATACCCCGCACAAAAAAAAATCTCCTAGATGCATGATCAAGGAGCACCTATGTAAAGCGTAAGATACCATATCTTGGAATTTTCATAAGATTAATCTCCTTGCCTTAGACATTTCAGTTGTTTTTATTTATTGGACTATGGAGTGTGTTTTCCACCACCTCTTTTTCTGTCTCTGTTATTGATGTTCTACGAGATTTCTTCCATGGTAAGAGAGGCCTTGGCCAAGGGCATCCCAAGTCTTCTCCCCTTTTCCAATGAAACCACAAGAATTGGTTGGGTAAGAGTTAGAAAAACTCTTATCGAGGTTTATTAAATAATGAGGAAGTACATAAGTACATAACGAAAATGAAATTAGATATCTAATGAAAAATAAAGATGATCTAGTGAACAAATGAAGCAAATAAATAAAAACGCTAATGAGATTTGCGTCGAATCTAACCCCCTTTGAACCAGATGATTAGCTTCCCTAATTATGAACCCAAATAGGATATGCCCATAAGAAAAACATCATCCTGAGATCTTTAACTCAAATTTCACCCCATAATACTCTGTGACCTTTTTGTTTATCTTGGTCCCGACACCATTTGTGTTGATGCCATTACGGAGTTGTTTGTTTCAGCTTGTTGCTGGGAGATGTATCCTTCGTGGAGATTACCCTTTTTATTTTTGTACACGTTGCAAATATTACTTTTGGGTGGATATATATTCACATTTCACCCAAAAAAATATGATAATATTATACAAATATTGAAATTCCAAAACATATAGCAACATCAAAAAGTTATGTAGTGAATATATAATCCATATACAACAAAAGGACAATCATACAATGTCATCAACAATGATACAGGCACACGGTTCATTTGAAAGTAAAAAAGCAAAAGAACTGCCTTGAAGATCAAATCCAAATACAGGCTACAAACAATTAATCACACTTCTAATTGGTGGGTGGAAAGGAAATAAGAAAGCCGTATTCCTGCAAAGTGGGTGTGCCAGAGAAACCAAATTTTTGTATGCATGTCTAAATATCACTTCCTCTTCTGAAAGAAACAAAAGAAGCAGTATATACCCTCTCGGTCTATCTATCTGTGCTCCCCCAGAAGGATTCAACTTACAGTAGAGAAGTTAGGCTAAATCTGTTCAAGCAGAATTCAGCTCATCACCCTGCTGTCGTGCTAGATACCTTTCCCTCCTTTCTTTCTGCATTACAAAATGATTAAAACTTAAGTTGATAGAATGATAGTGAAACTACACATTTACTATGTACTACGTAATACTTTCAAGCCCATGTTATGTACATGATGTAGGTAATGTGTGGGTAAAAACTATATTTTCGCTTTTCTACCACCATTCCCGACTAAATCTTTACATTTTCCTCTCATTTGTCCCAATATTAACTTTACATGGCTCTTTTAGGAATGAAGGGTCTGTGCAGTCCATATTATTTTTAACCTTTCAAAATAAATAACAGGCACACAATTTCATTTTCTTAAAGAAAATGAAAAAAGCAACTGTCAAGAGAGGCAGTACATAATTTTTGTTTTTCAAGGTAAAATAAAAACCATTTGATATGATGGCCTGCAATCTGCATATATCTTTTCAGGTATGGAACTACTACTAAAACTCTATAAGGATTATATAATTAATTAACTAACACTATTTTATTATTATATACACATTCACTCAAACTCTATTTGCCCAATGATTAATATGGAGAATGACTCTAACTATGGCACAGCTGAATGCCTGAATATTAGTCCAATTAACATAAATTTAATTGATATGACAAATTTAGGTGGGGTAGTCTATGCTTCGGAAATTCTATATATATATAGATAGATGAATCTTCATGTCAGGCCGGCCTAACCAAAACCGCCGTCCGGCCAAGCATGTTTGAGGGGCTTCCCGGTGGAATTTTTGGAAGAAATTTTGTGAGCATGTTCCTCATGAAGTGTAGATTATCTCCACAAAATTTCAGCTTAAAATTATCAGGAAGTCAGTCAAATGTGGCAATGAAAAACACTGCGTTGTTTATATATTATATATAAAGCACAATGTTATTAAATAACTTATTTAACTGCCTTCCCGATTCTGAATTTTAAGCTGAAATTTTGTGGAGGTAATCTACACTTTATGGAGAACATGCTCACAAAATTTCATCAAAAAATTTCACCTGGAAGCCCCTCAAACGGGTTTGGCTGGACAGCGGTCTTTGATACATCCACTGGGTTAGAAATTAAGACAATTTGCAAAGCAAAACCATTTTCTTGCGGATCAACTGCGAACCAATGAAATAGTTCCCGGCTCCTGTTTGAACTAAGTCTAACCATTTCAAATTTGGTATTAAAAAAACACAGTGCCAATTGCCCAAGCTGTTATCAATGTGTATTGTGTGCTCAAGGATTCAAAATCTGCCTAGGCTGGAAATATAAGTCCCCAAAATTTGGCAATTTAGTAATAGAAGCCAGCCACAAATATACACTGCAGTGAAGATCAAATCCAGAAATTTAAATTCATTAATCAATATCAAAGAATTGACTTACCCATTCATCTATAACCAGGCCTTCTCCAAAAAATTTAGGGCCATTGTCTTCTGAAGGCTTTTTGCGTGCTTCAAGCTCAGCCTCAGCCTCTGCGACTTGACGATTAAGTTTCTCCAATGCCTTTAGAGAACCACCACACATTGTGAAGAATAAGCGACATATAGAGAAATACTAGCATAAATGGAAAGACTGAAAGAGTATAAAAGCATATTATCTATCACTACTCACAGGGCAAGGATGCTCCGGATCAAGAAAGACTACTCTTAGTATCTGTTCCACTGCTATTTCATCCTTTTGGTCCTCAAACTACATCAAACGGTTGGTTAGTTGAGTTAGACATGGACTCACTGGTGTATAAGTAACTTTTAAAGTCAAAAATGATCAATCAAATAAGAGCTTTCTTGCATAATTTGAAGCCTTCATAAAAATTCAACATATCATTCACCCAACGGTTTCTATTGAAGTCTCAATATGTTTCATTATATTGCATAACATGTTCATTCAGCACTAACTATGTTGCAACTGGTAAAATTAGAGTGTATTTTACTAGCACTTACGTCAACAGAGTATGTATATACTTCTATATGGTTGTTTCTAACATACTTCAACTTAACTCATCAATGCTAGATCATCAGCTTGTACATCAACGTGTATTTCATTATTTAGAGAATTATTCTGATAAAATTGCAACATAAACTAATTTATTCTTTTGAACTATAACTTGTAGACACACAAATTACCTTATAAATACAGTAAAAACACTAGAAATTATGCACGCACTAGAGTATAAATAATTATTAAAACGCTATACAGTAAAACTTTGGGAACAATAATTTCCAAAAGATAGTATTCCCAAATCATAAATTTAGTGTCCATTAAAGCAGTTCATGAGAATACATGAAAAAATACTTTTTTGTGATTTCTTATGTATAAAAAGCTACTCCCTTTGATCACATTTTACCTGTCTTACTTTCCTTTTTGGGGTGTCTCTAAATAAGTGTCATATTTCCTTTTGTGAAAAGAAATATGTGGTTCATAGCATTTAACTTTATTAAGATAAAATCTCAACCATAACTTTTACTTTTTCAACCACTTCATTAATAATTGTGTCAAACCAAAACAAGACGCATAAAATAGGACGGAGGTAGTATAAATAGTGTTTTCAAAAAGGTGCTCCTGCTTGACTTTAAAAAATTTAAAGCTAGAAACCGTAAACGCGGGGAAGTTACTTGGGGAGGGTACTTGAAATTCCTTTTCCCTTTTTCTATCATACTCTACCTTCCTAACTAGTATACTAAAAAGTACTTTTTCTACTAAAGACTCCAACTTCAAATCTTTAAAAATTGCTTATTTCCTAAGAAGCCCGAAAACTCCCCCATGTCATGTTTCCCTGTTTCAGAAACTCGTAAACTTCAAATTCCTGTTCCGGAGCGGTTTCCGTAATTAAGAGGAATTGGAAACCTGTTTCCCTATAAAATTTTAACTCTTTGGGAACTGGGTTTACAATTTTCTTCTTTTTTATGGGATACCTCATACCTTGATGGAAATTAGTACCTTTATTAAAAATCTTTTTTAATTTTTTACAGAACTTCTCCTGAGCAACATTTTGATATTCCATAACACAACGCAGTGTTAGAAATGTATTAAATTTAATATTAAATTATGTTTTTTAACCTAAAATTGTGGGGTAAATGTTAGGAGTCATTACCCAATTTTATTAAAAAGGAAGAGAGTACAGGAAACAAAATGTAATGAAAGTACAACAATTAAGGAACTCCACAATTTAGAGAAAGTATCATGAGAGTTTCTGTCCAACGAGCTCGGTTTGGAGACGCATTTGAATATTACTCGTTGTTGCCTCAGTCCGTCTTTTGGTTTTTTTTGAAAGTGACTGCGGTGAAACTGCCATCCTCTATAGGTGTTCTTGGAGACACATTAGTGTCCAAGTCACTTGAAATATCTAGTTTTGCCATTGATTTCTTTTTGAGCTTTTGATCAATGTCTTTCTGGATGTCCTTTATTAAAATATGTACTAATATGCAATAATTACTAAATTTGAACATGTATTTATCTATTTATTATTGGGTTATCAAACAAGTTATTTGAAAAAATAATGTGCATATAAACAAATGAAAACACATGTGTACATATATGGAAAAATATTTATAAATATATCCGTATATTTTAAAATATTTACGTGATTCCCCATGTTTCTTATCCAATACTTTTTAGAAATCTTGTTTCTCGCATTTCCCGTTTTACGTTTCCCTTTTAGCGTATCCATGCTACTTAATTTATTTTTAAACAGTAGCAACTTTTACAATTAAACCCCTTCTCTATAATTTCTAAAATGAAACACTTCTCTATAAACATAAACACTACCATGAGCTCATAATGGTAATAAGTCTCAGCCTCTATCGGATATAAAGTGGTGAAACTTTGGTTGGAGAAGAACTGAAATGAAAATATAAAAAATTTGTACCCCATATATTAACAATATGGAAATGTACCATCAATTTTAGATGCTCTTTAGAATTCATTTTATCTGCTCCATATATAGTTCTTTGATTAAAGACTAAGAAATCTAAATTAGATATTCTGTCATGACCTGAAAGGTAAAGCCAAATACTGGAAACCCCGTTTTTTCCTTCCCCTGCCACTTTCCAGTACATAGGCTAAATTAACAACACTTTCACATTCATAAAATATTCTTCCACGTCCATCAATTATGGCTACTATTAGAAAGAAAGGAAGAATCACATGCACATGGATCTTATCTTAATGCATTAAACAGCTGGTTTATAATTATAACTGCGATAATGCATATTACCAGCTCTGGAACATATTCCATATCCCCCTTTACTTTTAGGCTCATTATCTTGAACTTGACCCCACTCTTCATTCCAACTATTTTCTCATCATTCTCTGGAGGCTCCACGAACTTGAAAACTGTCAATTATCAACCACAAAAATCAAGAAATGTAGCACAACTAACTACCTGCTGAGTAAAACCATATATTACACAGATCCCATTTCACATTTCTTTGCTTACTTTATTTAATATTCTTTTATAACAAAATGATCATATATGTCATTGCGTGTTTCTTGATGCAGTTTTTAAATATGTAATTTCTATTTGTGAAAATAGTAAATTGGATATTGCAAAAAACGAATTTAAAATATATTCAGTCTTGCCCCATTGCACGAGTAGGAAACAAAAAGCAGGACAGATGGAGTGACTCTCTAAACTAAGAAAGGGAAAGAGGAAAGGTATTAGTACCTGTTGCAATGAGACTTTCATCCGGAGCAAGTATGCACCCTGGCGGACGCATGTAACAACTCTTTGGTGCAGTTGTTTGGAACTTAAAAGATATGAAAGATAGTAACAATTAATACTCAAATGATGATCATTTTATACTTTTATCATATATAAATGCATAAGATATTTAAAGAAACAGATCCTTTTTTTATTACATTGGTTGGATAAACTTCCAAAGTTCACTTATCACGATTAGCTGGAATACACTGGAATTTCGTCAAGATAGAACAATCAATATTTTCTTATTTAATCAGGGCCAATCATGGATCATTATTAGGATACTACACATATCTAATAAATGTATTTGTTTTAATTTAGTAATACCATTATAACACCAACTTGATGAATTGTTGGGTGCAACTTCAACATCATATACTAGCTTAGTCCTTATTATCATTAATCATTATTGTTGTCCAGTTGGTACCACTAATTATCTTTTCTATCATACGCAACAAAAACCACATACTGTTCAACCAATCCCAATCCCATTCAACAAAATGTTTTCCAAAATGGGAATATACTATTTAATAATCATGTCAACTATGTGAATTAATGAATCACTCCTCTCCCGAATTAGAAACCTACTTGAATATACTATTAATGTGTACATCAAGGACAACAAATCCAACTAAACTGGAATTTTACTAAATTTATGGAAACCTGATTTCATGTCAAAATGTTGCTAGAGGTTGAACTCATGATCTAATGATCACTAAAACTAACAATGCAACCAGTCCAACCACTACCAGTAAAGGGAAAGGATGAGGGTGGGTGGGGGAGGCTACAATTCTCTTCATACCTTAAAGGCAACATGAGTCCTACTAACATTCTTGATTCTGATTGCACTTTTCACTTGTTTCCCAGGTTCATCTTCAAAAGAGAGTTAAAATTGGTTAGAGATCAATTATTCAAGAAACCACAAACAATTCAAAATATCATCCCTGTATTGGGATTTTAAACCAATCCATGTGGGAAATTTCACTCTTAGAGCTGCATCTGACGTGGAAAGAGTAGTCATGAAGAAATAAGACAGATCAGGGTCAGATGAGCAGGGAGAACTTGGAATTCGGAAATAGAGCGAAAAAACTTACAGGGAAAATAGAGCTTGTTGGAGGGATCAAGACTAAGCCTGCGACGGGTGGGAAGAAAAGACTTGATGCTCATGGAAGTGGGCTTAGTAGAGGAGGTGTTGTGAAGATTACTGTGCTGATGAGCACCTGCAAATACATTGTCGTGGCGCGGCCTGAATGAAGAAGAGTAAGCTGTAGACGATGATGAAGATGATGAAGAAAAATTGGTTGAATTCCAGAAAGGGAGTTTGCATATGCTCCAGCTCTTTCCTTCCGACACTAATTTTTTGCTTGAAATTTCCATTTGTTTTTCGTCTGACTTTTTCTGGGAATATTTTGTAGATTTTCTCCGGGTCTCCTCTTTTATGAGTCATTCGACCACGCCTTCGGTCCATCCACTAACCATTTCACTTTCGTATGTCATGCGTTTCATCTTTCTTCACATTTTCAGTCATCAACTATCAGCTCAACATGCCTCTCTAATCTCTACTCGTCTTTGTGGCTTACTCCTTCCATCCGGCTAAGATTGTTCCATTTTGTTTTTTTTATTTATCTAATAAAATTGTTTCATATCAAATTTGGTAAAGTTTGCATTACACTAAATCATTCTTACTTTATCAATTCAATATCAACCACATAAACCACTTTTTATTGATTTGTCCTCATGTCCCATTGTTAGTGGCACAGTAGGAGTAGTACTTTTTCAAAAATATTATTGTGTATTAAAATCAAATTTATTCCCAAAAATACGATTAAAACAACTGCTTCCTTCATATTATAAAATTTGTTACAGTTTTTCTTTTTAGTGAGTTGTTCTTTAAAAATACCTAATTATCTTATATTTTCTACTTTTTATCTTTTATTTCATTGTTTTCCTTCATCTCTCCTATATTTTCTAAACTAATCATTACTCCCATTATTTTCTTCTTAAATAATGTGTCAAAATCTAGTGTAACAAACTTCAATTTAGTCCGATAAAAGGTGGAATCTCCCACCCCAGGAACCCCCCACCCAGACCCGACAGGACGGTGGTGGAGCTAATCACGGTGACTCAGTCAGCAAAGCGGCGGTAGGCCTTATACACGTGCGCACCAGAGGTACAACCTTATTTCAGGTTCTGTAACCTCCACACGGCCGCTGCGAGTTTCGAACCGTGGTCACTTGGTCCAATTTTCCCACCACTCGACCAACTGAGCTACCCATGCGGGTTAGTGTAACAAACTTTAAAACATGGAAGGAGGGAATATATGTATAATGTTGTAGTCGATTATGGTGTGTTTGGAAGTTTGGAGGAGGGAGAGGGAGGGATTTTGAAAGTTAGTCACGAGGGTAAAAGGGAGGAAGTGAAAGAATTTTTTGTTTTTGTCTCGGGGTTATAAATTTGGAAAGGGAGGAGTAATAGAGAATTATAATTAACAATTGTTTAAGATATATATGAAATTCAACTAGTTGAACTTGTACTCATTTTAAATTAAGCCACAATTATCATTCAAAAACCTCCAATTTGAGAGAATTTAAAAATTGAGCATTGGGCGGTTTCTTGAAGGGTTACAAAAGTCCTCCAAAATCATCACTTCCATTTTTTAAACTCTCAAACATAAAACGGAGGAACATTAACCCTTATCAACATTTTCCTCCCCTACAAAATCCAACTCCCAAACATAATTTTAAGGAGAAATAAAAGGTGAAAATAAGTTACTACTCCTTCTCTCCCATAAGTTTAAACTTAACTTGCATGTAGAATAACAATAACAACATAGTAGAAACTAGGAATGTTAGTCAATTTGGCTTTGTCGGTTTTGGTTTTATTGGTTCAGTTTTTAGTTGGTTGTTTTTTAATCGATTTGGTTTTTAGTCGGTCAGTACTAGCCACTTTCAGAACATGTGAAATCGAGAATCGGACCACAAAATTTGAGTTGATTTCAATCGGTTTGCATCATTTCATCAAATTTAGCATGTATTGCCTGATTTTTGTCGGCTGATTTTGGTTTGGCCGGTTTTTTAACCCAAAAATATTAGCCGCAAACCAAAGTGCTATGGATAAGTCACTTTCTGTTTGTTTCGGTTCATTCGGTTTGGTTTTGATTTTGGTTGGTTTGATTTTGGTGGGTTCAGTTTCGGCCAATTTGTTTGTTCTGTTTTAGCCAGTTTGTCGGTCGATATCAATTTTTCGATTTTTTGTTCACCCCTAATGAAAACAGTGTGGTCAAGACATATATTTTTAGCCTCATATTTATTACTAGTATTTTATATGGAAATTGTAAAGTTTTTGAGAATGGGGGAGTATTAATAGAGTTACTAGTTACCACTATTAGGAGAGATTGCAGTTTTGTAAACATTATTTAGAGCCCGTTTGGTAGCATGAAAATCGGCTAATTTGGCTGATTGACTGATTTTGCTGAAATTTATGAAATTCTGGCTGAAGTGGCTGCATTGGCTGATTCTGGTGATTTAAGAAAAAAATATTTTTAAAATATTTTTTATTTATAAAGTAAAGAAAAAATTATATGTAAAAATAGCTAAAATGGTCATCTACATTAACTTCAGCCAATACAACTAGAAAAGTAACTTCAACCTTACCTTTTCAGCTTATTACACAATTCAGCGCGCGAAAGCAAAAATTACGTGTTTGGTGAAAAAGTTGCCTAGAAAACCTGATAAGCCGAAAAACTGTGCTACCAAACGGGCTCTTATTCTAAGCATAAATTTTGCTATTATTTCTACATAATTCGACCCCAGAAATTAAAAAAATGCAATTTGCATTTTCAACTCACTAAATAAAACCTTTTGGGATCGGAGGTAAACTTTACCATCCTCCTGAGAGCTCAATTCACCATCCTCCTGATGAACCACCGCCATGCTTTGAAGGAACAATAATGCTCAATTGGATATTCTTTTTTGTGTTTGTCTAACGGATGATATTGGCAAAATTTCTTCACAGCTGGTCAAATTTTCAAATTGGGGATTCTACCTTTTTCTTTCTAGTAGTTGGATAAATCGGATTTTCTATTATTTCCTTGTCAAGATGATGAAATCAATTTATATGTTTGTTTTAAATCGCATAGTAGTTTTTGTACCTTGCTAGTATTGACTATTGATTTAGTACCATGAACTTATGTGTTGATAGAAGTGTCTACATTTAAGCACTTTTCATTATTTATTATTTATTTTTTTGAATTATTTAAATAAATTGTAGTTTTTTATATCATGTCAGAAGTATAGAAATCAGGATGATCAAATTAAACTTCTATTTATCCGTTACATGGTTAACAAATATTGCAGCTAATTTATGGCCTTATGGGTTGTAGAGTTTCATCATTAGGCTTCTCGTTGTGATTGATATTATTTTGAATTTATTGTAATAATTTTTTATTTATTAATTTCAAAATAGGCAAATTTCTTATAAAAATATTAGATTCTTACGTGATCCTGTTTTCCTTATTGTCTTCTCCCTGATCCTTCCTTTTCTTTTTTCCTCACTCCCGAGGAGACTTTACACTTAATAGTCTTCTTTCAAACCATTGATTTGATTTCTCTTTCTCTCTCTTTATCTTTATCTAACATTGTTTCATAGCAGACTTAGGATGATGTCGCAATTGGTACACCGTGGGAGCGCCTCATAGTGAGAATCCTGCTTTCATGTTTTTTTTTAATTTCAAAAGCAGGTTGATGTAACTCACGTTTAACGTAATGTAACTCACGTTGGAAAGAAATGTAACTTGAGTCAAGTTGAAATGTAAATTGTCTAAAACATATTATACGTAAAACATTGATTTCAATGTAAATAAGAAAAAAAGGAGTCCATTGTCCAATTATGTTACATAAATAGTGTAATATCAGGACTATAAAAATGTTTTTTATCAAAATAATTCTTCTTGGAATAGCACAGGCTTATTGTGTTATGTAACTCGCATTATGGAAAACATAAATCACTTGTAACCAAGATGTAACTTGGTGAGAAAAATTGACATGTAACTCACTGATGGAGTATATGGGTCTGAGCCCCCGGACCCACATACTCGGAAGAACAGAAAGCACCAGACAACAGAGTGGCGCCCTCGTCGGCCAAGACGCCCCCGTCGGCCGGAAAGGGACCAACTCGGATTATGGTCCTGAGTCCAAGGAACCCGGGTGCCCTCGTCGGCCGCGCCCTCATCGGCCACGCCCTCGTCGGCCACGAAGACCTCACAGAATCGGATTTTATACTTACTCATTTGTACAGCCCATTAGAGGCTTTGTATTCGGCCCAGTAGCGGTCCAGTTGTAAATGGGCCCCCCAAGCCCAAGGCTTGGGAGCCCAACCCTAATTTTCTCTATAAATACTCCCCTTGGGAGTAGTTATAGGGGTTACGAAATCATTCTATTGAAGCATATTATTGCACTTCATTCTCTCTAGCTCTCACTTCTCTCTAGATATACTCTATCATTTGGTGCTCTCGTTGAGAGCTAGAACAATCAAGTTAGCACCCTTCGTCGCTACCAAGCACAGCTAACCACTGATCATGGGGAGAACTAAGTCAAACCGCAACCTCGTCAGCAAAGTCATCCCTGAGGACCAAGAGCCCAGGGAGCACGATGAGGACGCCATGGCCGACCAGGCCGGCGGAGGAGATCTCTTCCAGGAGGCCTTCAACCTCACAACGGACCTCCGCAACCAACTCAACGGCGGCGCCCCTGATGCCCGCCTCGGCTTGGACAAGAAGCGAGCTGAAAAGACGGATCACGCCCCGGCCCAGCCTATGGCCGCGACCTCTCCGTCCGTAGATCCTCAGGTCCAGGCCGCACTATCGGCTATCATCGCCAGCTTGGCTCAGAACCCCACCGTCCTCAGCGCACTCTTGCCAAGGACTGGGGGGAACGTCACTCAACCTCCTCAACCCCAACCGCTGGCCGTCCAGATTGGCAACGATGAGGGGGTGGTGCCCCAGGACACGGCGTCGTCCCACTCCCACCCTGCTTCCCCTCTTCGGCCCGGGCAGACCCCAGCGTGTGGAAAAGCCTCTGCCTTCAATAGGCTAGGTGACACGCGCCGTCGTCCGGTTTCGGAGAGGATGGCGGGACGGATTGGTGATCCTCGTCCTGGCTCGCCAAGGGAAAGCTTGGGGTCTGTGTCCCGGACAGCGGACCAGCCCCGCCCGGATAAGGGCAAGGGGAAGTTGCACGAGGATGACGTGCGTCACCAGATCAACGCGGCTCACAACGAGCGCCTAAGGAACCAGCCGGGCGCCGCTGCGGCCAACAGGGACCCCCGGGACGAGGTCATCGCCCAGCTGGAAAGGAGGCTGGCTCAGATGGAGGCCAAGCAGTCGGCCAACATCCCTACGGCCGGCGCCTCCAACGACCCCGGCATCAACGCGCTCATGAACAAAGTTAGCGCCCTGGAGAGGGAGCTGGCCGAAGGGCGGGGTGACCCCATCATCCAGGTCAGGACTAGGACCCCTTTCACCAAC